GCTTATGTATTTATGTCTCTTAAATGTTTTTATTTTTGTGTGTGTTTTTTTTCCCATAAATCTTTTTATTTCCATGTGTTTTTACATTTTTTTTGTCTCCTGTTTTTACTTTACCTCATGCATTTCTGCCTCGTTATGCAGTGTGGGCGGTCCTTGTTGGGTCAGGTCCTCTGCTACTGGACAAAAGACAGGAAAGAGCAGGATCCATCCATGTGCAGACTGATTGTGCATGCTTGTGTTGCCTCAGTTTAGCTTAAAGTTTAGTTTAAAACAAAGGCGAGGAGGGAAACACTTACCTGTGCCTATGTGTTGTCATTAATTACCTGAATCCAGAACCCAGGTCTTGATGATCCCACATACTGAAAGTTGACTTGGACTAAATGACAGAAGGACTCCCGCTGCACTAAGCATTGTATAATCAAGTAATAATCAAGTGAACTTCAAGTAGCTTGTAAACAATTTAGGTCATGAGTTAGTTAAAATAGAGTAACTTAAGCTTCTCTATATGTCTTTGCTGTAAGTCCTGCCCATAAACTAATCAATCAAGGTTAAACTCCCCCTCAGTTTAGTCAATTGGTGTGAGCCTCCAGGTAATATTCCTACATAAACAGCAAAGCAAAGGTGAAATACTCAAGTTTACAGTGGGACATTGCATGACACCTTTGATGACTTCTGGAAACCTTTGTTAATATCTTCAAAACACAAAACCTATGGCAGCACAAACAAAAATTAATGAACAAAATTGACTCTAACTGGGATTAAAACATAAAGAAGCTAAAGAATTTAGAAAAACTGAGGGGAGCATTGACTTCTTTAGGTATATTTTCTTTGCTTGTAAACAAACAAACAAAAAAAGTTAAAAATATATATATATTCTTGGACAAAATTACATTGTATCAAGTTTGACAGCAGCACGCTGAAGCCTTTATGGGCAAGGACTCTCGGCCTCGGAGTAGCCACTGCTCCTCTGCATCAAAAAGAATCAGTTGAGGTGTTTCAGGCATCTGATGCCTCTCGGATGCCTCCCTTTGGAGGTTTTCTCAACAGATCTCACGGGGAGTGGACCCCGGGACAGATCCAGAACTCACTGGAGGGGTTGTGATCCCCATTTGCAGAGCTGGTACAGTAAATGCTGGGGAAAGGGATGTCTGGGTTACCTTGTTGCCTCCACCAGCTGATAAGCTGATGGGTTATGTTCCTCTGACAAAAAGCAAATGGGCAGCGTATTTTCAAAATCAATTTATAGCTACAAATAAAGTCAATAAAGTTAATAGTGATGGATGTATTGCAATATTTATCACCTTAGCAGTTGTTACAGTTAGACTATCAAACAATATGGTGGATTGAAAATGCCTGTATTCAAAAACAAGCACAAGATGCAAGACCTCTAAGCCTAATGCAAAACAAAATTGATTTGAATTTGCCTATTTTATTTGTATCGCATTATTTCTCCTGAATCTGGTTCGACCATCGATCGGTCTCTCCAGGACCCCTCAATGACCTGCAGGGATAAAAGATTTGACTTTTTGTTTCGTTGCAAATATTAAAAAATAAAATTAAAAAAACTTTAAAACAAAACTAAACAAAGAACAAATGCTGAAGTTTTTCACATCCTAAAACTCTAAACTCATTTAGTTGAAGTATTAAAATGTGAACATTCACAATGTTTCAATTTTGAGTTTTTTTTAATTCAATACAATTTTTGCATATAGGCTACACGTCACAAAAGTTACAAAAATAATACTTTTTTTCTCGTTATTATAATAATTTTTAAAATTATTACATGGGGTACTTCAACTGAGATAAATATGACACAATGGAGTTCATTTAAAATTTATTGCACGCTTGTTATTCTTACCTGCATGCTCCGAGGAAACAAAATGGTTATCAAACATCCACATATAATGTGATAAGATATAATGTTATAATATAATGCATGAAATGTTGCATTTGATAATGTATGTTACGTGTGTTACACTTTGTTGTATCACAATAAATGTCGATGTTTGCGATTAAAATGCAAAAGAAAACTGATCTACTTGGCTCTTCAACGCTTCGGCACACGCCGGTGTCTTTTTCCAACGCACCCATGAAAGAACGCATTGCGTAGAGCTGTCCTATTGGCTAGTTACGCAGAACGTATCATTTTCAATAAGCCGCCATATTAGGAAGCCAAACCCCTCTTTCATTCGGTTAAGTAGGGGCAGGATATAATTCCTGGACTGGTTCCTAAAGTACGGGCTGCCGCCGAACACTTGGAGCAGAAGACGATACACTTTTACAAGCATTCTATTTGTTTGTTTGCTAAGTCCAATTAGCTTCTCTTCCAGTACACAATGGCGTCTGTGGCTGCAACTCCTACCGGCCAGAGAGGCACGTGCGGCGGCAGCAGCACACCGCTGAGCCCGACCAGGATAACCAGACTACAAGAGAAACAACAGCTGCGGGACCTCAATGATCGCTTGGCCGTTTACATCGACAAAGTGCGCAGTTTGGAGTCTGAAAACGCCGTGCTGCATCTGCAGATCAGCGAGAAGGAAGAAGTGAGGAGCCGGGAGCTGAGCGGAGTGAAAACGCTGTATGAGACGGAGTTAGCCGACGCCAGGAGGTCTCTGGACGACTCCTCCAAGGAGCGGGCCTGGCTGCAGATTGAGCTGGGAAAGATCAAATCCGAGCATGAGCAGCTCCAGCAAAAGTAAGACAAGACGACGTTTATTCTGGTTTAATCTGTGCGCAAACACCAAGTAAATGCGTAGTAACGAGCGGGATTTACGTACTTGGAGTTCCGAGCCGCTTTCGAGACATTACGCACGTAAAGTCTGGGCGTTACGTTTATCACGGGAACGTGACCCGGGCTCGGCCCACACTGGACCCGTTCTGGCGTTCGGGTTTGCTCGGTCCGGAGAGTGGAAAACAACCCGAAGGGCGGGAAAATAAAACGTTTCTTGTTGACTTGTTTTCTCATTAGAAACCGCAATCACAACAAAGTAATTATACTCGGCTTATAATACAAAAATAAAATGTGTTTTAAACTGATGAAAACAAGATTTACATTAAAACATGTAGAACTGGGTCCTGTCTTCACTTGTTTTTAGAGCAGTCGTTTAAAATGTAAAGAACTGTGTGTTTTCATGTATCCTATAACAGCAGCTGTCAAATATGCAGCTGTTCAAAGTGCATTAAAACAATCATTCAGCAGAATTTTCTGAAATAAATAGGTCAACACAAAGAATATTTATTTATTTATTTATTTTGCTAGTCTCACTTTACTGTAATTTAGTAGCTTTTTTTACACAAAGCGGTGGTGTGCAGGGGTGAATAAAACCTTGCGGTGACAGGTGTGTGTGTGTGTGTGTGTGTGTGTGTGTGTGTGTGTGTGTGTGTGTG